GAGGAGGACATACAATCAATCAACAAGTACATGAAAAAATGCTCACCATCTCTAGCAGTCAGAGAAATGCAAATCAAAACCACCCTAAGATACCAGACTGCAATTTATCCATGATCTCCCTGGCCTGGATGGGCAGCCACATCTGTATCTGAGGGTCCAGCATGGAGGGTGCTGACAGAGGGCTGTGGGCAGGAGACCACCAGTGAAGATGGAGGTGGAGGTCAAGAGACAGGGCGGAGACCAGGGGCTTGGTTCAAGAATTATCCTGGAATCCACTCAGAGATGGGTGCGGTGAAAGGAGCTCATGGGGAGAGGGCAACAGGATCAGCAGTGCTTAGAAGATGATGTTGGCCATATATCATGGATGCCACTGTGTGCAGTGCCTTGCCATTGTCACCTGTCACCCAGGAGATAAGCTCCCAGGGGCAACTCCCACTTTGTCTTGCCCTCCACTGTATTTTCAGTTTGGCATGTATTGGGTGCTTCATGGATGTTTTAATGAAGGAGTGGAAGCAAGGATAAGAAGCGAGAAAAGGACCTCCCTTAGGAGACTTGGCTATGCCAAAGTTCTCTTGGAACTTTATATACAGAGATTTATATACCAAATATATCCCCACATATTCTTGAAAAATGTAAGGTCCTTCAAGCTGGGGTAGTCTTATTCCTAAGTTTTGATTTCTTATAGTCTTATTCCTATTTGATTTCTAAATGACATGGTAGACCTGGCCAAAGGTTGAAAATGAATGAATGAATGAATGAATGAATAGAAGTTTCAGGGATAGATTTTCTGGCTTACCATTACCTTGTTCCTCAGTATCTATTGGGGATTGGTTTTAGGATCCCCCAAGGATACCCAACTCTGCAGATGCTCAAATCCCTTATATAAAATGGCACAGTATTTACATATAACCTTCACACATCCTCCTGCATAGTTTAAATCATCTCTAGATTATTTATAATACATTGGAAATGGTAAAAAAAAATAGATGTTAGACTGTATTGTTTAGGGAATAAAGATAATAAAAAAGTCTGTACATGTTCATACAGACGTGTTTTTTAAAAGCTATTTTAATCAATCATTGGTTGAATGTGTGGATATGGAATCCACAGATATGGAGATTTATCTGTATTCATTATTTTAAGGCCATCCCTGAACCTTGGGCCCACAGTGATGGACAGTCTCTTAGATCAAGAAAGCCACAGTCCAGTATGAGGATCCTGACTGCAGTGCCTGCTTCATATGCCTTCTCAAGGAGGGGTCCCAGCCTCCCTCTTCAGCCTCCTGCCTTGGGCCCAGCAGTGCTTATGCTGCTTCTGCAGATCCCACTATTCTGCCCTGACCCACAGTCCTCCTGGCTTCTTGCCCCCTCACTTCACTCCTGGCTGCTTCACCACAAGAAGCCTGGCCCCAACCCTAACTTCTTCCAAGCTCTCTGGGTTTCAGCCCTTCATGTGATGTTGGGTAGTTATCTTCTGCTCTCCCCAAAACCCGCCAGAAGCTGCGTGCCAACAAAATATGTCACTGTTCAGT